GAAGGAAATCAACTGTAAAAAATGTTATCATTTATAAGTCATAAACAAATGCAGCTCTTACAAAAACTGAAATATTTCGTCTTGAATAACATGTCTCTGGATACGTGGCAATGGGTAAAAAATGTCATGATTATTTCAAAGTCAGACATATCTCTGTATTTTCAAGAAAATTATTCGTTAATTAATATGAAATATTAATCCCAAATTATTAATAAATCTCTATTTTTATCCTCAAATTATAATAATTTTAATTTTAGAATCAACCCAATCAAGTAGGGGTAAGGGCTAAATTTTTGGTTGCTATCAACAATTTGTAGCAACAAAAAATTTACACCCTCAAACTATGAATAATTTGATGAAACAATTGATCAATATAAGAATAGTAAGAAGAAACAATCGGCATCACAGAAATAATCCAACATACCTGTTCTATGAAAAATAATAAAAGGCAAAAATTAAACTTAACAAGATGGAAAAGCTCTGGAGTTTGGTCCACAGAAAATAGCGTGATGATCTTGTCTTGAATATTTGGATGTGAAAGGATTATGAAGAAAAAATTTAAAAAAAAAATCAAGATGAGAACTGGAGGAGCCGAAAGGGAGAAACAGAGGAAGTGAAATTGAAATGAAATGTGCCTGTGCCGTCTGCACTTTCTTAATGCTAGGGTTTTTTTTTATTTTATTTGATTTTAGTTTTTAGTTAAGTAAAATTTCACGCAACAATAGCTTGTCCTTCGGTTGTGGTTCAGTGGTTTGCGTGCCTTATTCTGGTCTCGGAGACCTGTGTTCAAATCTTAGCAACCTCCACTATTGCTATTATTTTGAATTTGAGGGAAAATCTGAGAACCGCCGGTTCGCAGTTTATGCGGGTTTTAACGGTTCGTATGGTTCGGCCGATTCATAGCGGTTTTCCATTACCTTTCGGGTTTGATATTAGACCGGACCGGTGACATGGCCGGTCCGGTCCGATTCTTAAAACATTGCTTAAAGGCGGACCGACAGTCTGCCGGGTGGCTTTGTGGGTGGGGGGAGGGGGCCCACAGTCTCCCAGCCGGCCGGGGGGGTGGGGATGGGAGGTATGTGCGGTCCTGATTCTTGACTGCGAGGACAATGCCAAGAGCAGCTTGGTGTGCCGGATTCTTGATTTTTGGAAAGAATAGGGAAGAGAAGGTTTATTTATTAAATTAATCTTATATGCACTCACGGACATGAATATATGTTACTATCTCAATATGAATTTCAACTTCAATTCTTATACATATAACATCCATTCATATTGCTAATATATATATATATATCTATCTGTATATGCTATAAGTATATATAGGATTAATTCTTATTTAAATCAAAATTTGCTAATATATATATATCTGTATATGTATATATATAAGAATTAATATATATATTAATTCTTATTTAAATCCATTCATATTGCTAATATATATATATCTGTATATGCTATAAGTATATATAGGATTAATGCTTATTTAAATCAAAATTTGCTTCCATTCACAATATATAAGTTAGTGTTTACGCTCTATTTACCTCTTATAAATAATTTAGATGTAGCAGAGCATTCTCACCGAAAGAATTGTTACTCGTACCATTAAGTGCAGCGAAGATGACATATCACTCATACTTCTTCCATTTGTTAAAAGATGACATATCACCGTGGCTCGATGGAAAAACGAACCTCCATGCTCAAGCTGATACAACCAGGCTGGTGGCCACCACCAAGCCAGGATGGGAGGCAGGGTTCGAACCTTGTCTCCCACCAATTTGCCATATTTGTGGTTCTTCAAAAAATTCAGACGGATGCACTGGTCCGGTGATGGTTCTGTCCCCATCGATCTTCCATAGGTCCAATTGGATCTCCCTATAGTTAAATTAGGATAGAGTAGGAGTAAGAGTAGGGATGACGATTAATGAAAAAAAAAATGCTCAAGCTGATACCATCATCATCATCATCACATACACACACATGGGCACCCACTTTCAAGTTTCCAGTAGGAAGCAAAAAATGAGAACAGAGGGGAAAACGAAAACAAAGGGACCAATGAAGCCTATGTCTCATAAACGAATATGTACGGAATAGAAAGATTCCAGCCTCCCAAGTAAAGAACTGTTACAAATAATGAAGAAACCAATAGATTTAGATACGAAGCAACGTAAAATAAACCAAAATTTGATACCTGAATATTCAATTTGGTAACCCACTACTAATTCTTCTCCGGCTTCTGGTAAATCAAAAGGCAATCTCTCATACCCGGCTAAAGAAGAAATTAGAAAAATGATAAATCCTATAGGTTGACGCCATAAATTTCATCCCCAAAAACCATATTTTGACTGCGCTTCAACTATATCAACTGTACTTGAACTGTTAGATAATCATAGTCGATGATAACATCACTGTTCCCATCACTATTATAGAACCGTACGTGAGATTTTCACCTTATACGGCTCCTCAAAGATCACAAATAAATCTAAGGGCATTTCACTATTATTTATCTTGATATTTTGTAAGATAGTTATCCTATAAGTTCGTGAATTAGATCAATGGAATTCTGTTTGCTATATTTTATATTTAAAATAAAAAAGTGCTTTCGTACATATTCGTATGATGCAACATGTAACACTTGTGATACCGAAAATGTTTGGGTTAATTTCATTTTGTCCCCTCAAACTATATGTCAAATTTCACTTTAGTCCCTGAATTTTAAAATGGAGCACTTAAGTCCCTAAACTACAAAATGTATTCCAGTTACGTAAATTCGGTAACGGGATAAAAAAAATTTGATGGTATATTAAGAGTGTGAACAGCACCTTCCTGTTACATGATTGTGTAAGTGTTACAAACCAAAAAAATAGGGATATAAAAGTAATTTCATCTTTTGTAAGTGTTATAAACCAAAAAAGGGACATAAAAGTATTTTCCTTTTTTTTTTTTGGTCTTTTCCTTCTTCATCATTCTTTTTTTTTTTTGTTTTTTCCTTTTCTTCTTCTTCCATCATGCCCTTTTCTCAACTTTTTCGCCCAATATCAAGAAAAAAAGGATGGAGTTCACTGAAAAGAACCCAACCAATTGATGCAGTAGACAACCTCCTTTCCTTCCCTCCTATAGTTGTCATTCACTCTCCAATTTTTTCTTCCCTAAGTAGCATTATCACCAACAGCAGTAGCTTCTTCATTGGATCTGAAGTGCTGCCGAAGTTTGACCCGATCCAAGTGGTGCAAGTGTTCGTTTGGATTACTGGCGGCGAAGTTGGAGCAGCGAGTTCACTCGCTCCCAAAATCGGTCCGCTCAGTCTCTTCCCAAAGAAAATTGGGGAAAAGAAACTACAAAGGATTGGAAAAGGCCTCTAGGTCATCTTTATGCTCATCGCCCAAAATCGTCAGGCCAAAAAAGAAAATTTCAAGTAGAATGCATAATTTAGACTACAAAATAGGGGATGTGAACTAAATTGTCTAAAATATGAAAACAAATTGAAGGTGTACTTGGTTGAGATTTCGAAATTGATATCACAATTGGATTCAAATATAGAAAGTTAGTATGCTTTAGTAAAGGGGAAAAAATATGGGAATTGCTATCCAATAAGTTTCTTGCCTTTTCTTTCAGTATTCTTTCACTCAATAAAACCTTCAAGGCCACTGCAACCTCCATGGAAGATCCCATACCAACAGATCCAAAAACAAATTTCAAGCTTCAAGTTGAAAATTTTTTTAACTTCTTGATGCATGTTTTATCCCTGGAATCTTTGATATTGAAAAGAAACATAGAAAAGTAGGAAATTCGATGATGGCTAAAGTGGACGGAGATCAGCCATTATCAAAAAGAGGGGAGAGTCAATATTAAGAATGGATTAATGGTGATGGGTTTTGGTGACCAGCAAAATGCAGGGGCGGAAAAGAGATTGGAAATAGTGGGGTGGCGGAGATTGGAAGGGGAGAGGTTAGAGAGTGACAGTGGTGGAAGATGGAGTGGTAGAGGTGGGGATGCAACTGGGAAGGATGGGGAAGAAGAAGAATAAGGACCAAAAAAAAAAAAGGAAAATGGAAGGACAAAGAAAGAAGGAATTAAAAAAAGGTAAAATCATCTTATGCCCCTATTCTTTTGGTTTATAATAGTTATACAATCACATTAATAGAGTGTGTTCTTCACACTCCTAATACACAATTAATTTTTTGAATTCCATCACTGATTTACTTAATTGGAATACGTTCTATAATTTAGAAATTTAAGTGTCCCATTTTGAAATTCAGAAATTAAAGTGGAATTCCATGTATAATTTGAAAGGACAAAATAAAATTAATCCAAAAGTAAATTGACTGATGCTCTTTGTCAGAGATTGGAATACGAGGCAAGCTTAGAAACATAATAGTTCATCATCTCATCGGTGAGCTGCGTCCGAGATTGTGAATTTATTGATGCTCTTCGCCCCAATTTAAACAAGAGAAAGGGCCAAAATGTGAAACAAAAATCAAAACGCCGACTCCCAGCTAAAACAGATACAAGCCATTGCGTACCCCAATTTCTGCTCGCACACAAGAAGACCTTAGCAATCCAAGAATATCTGTTCAAAAAAGGTAGCAAGGCAACCTTCAAAGAAATGCGGACACGAGTGGTATTTTAAAAGGGAAAAAAATTGATTCTCATGTTCACACCCACTTTAATGTTGGTTTAGGCTTATAGGAAAGATGCTTGCTAAGGCTCTTTACTCCATGCGGGCTTGCCTCTGCCACATTTGTCTGTGTGACAAATTACACAGGTTGAGGATAGAAAATCAGCTAATAGCATTCAAAGGAGAAACCAAGCTGATGTGCAAATGTTTTACCCTTTTCCAAGTCTATAGCTAAAAAAAATGTCTAGATGTATACACTAGAGGAGTATCGTGCTCGAAGATGGCAAGTAGGGCGAAATAAGGACATCAGACCTAAAACTCATCGCGTCCACCTTGTTTCTGCAAAAAGCAGACAGGTTAGTTGACCCAATCTACAAGATGAGTGACAATTTTGTATGGTATGTATCAGCAACATAAGCTACAAAGCCGTCTTCACCGAAGGTATAAGAATCCACAGATGACAATTTTCATTCTATACTTGGCTACCCAATTTTCAGATTACCTACAGCTGAAGAAGTGTATCTAAATACAAAAAAAAAAAAGTCATAACTTACAATCTGCACAACAGTGACAACAAAGCTTCTAAAGCCTCTGATACAGGCAAATGAATAATCCGGTAATTGGCCATTAAACATTGGGCAGCATTGCAAATGGGATGCTTCTCACCAAGGTTGGCCCTTTCCTCCAAGACGTCGTGCCAATTCCCAATCTTTTTTCACTGAGTGGCAAGAAGCAAAAGAAGATTCAATATTCTTCAAATACGAGAACCAAATTATCAGCATCAATGTCCAAAGTGCACACAGAGGGATCCACTATGACTTGGAACTGAGAAAAAAAAATGGAAATCTGAAAATGGATTTATTTGTTTATCACTTTAGAGCTGGATAAGTAGTCGTAGCTCAGGAACCAAAGTACTACTCATGGGCCAGGTACTAGAACCAGTACTTCAAACTGTCATATACCGTCCAAAATGTGAACACTTGATTACTTTGAGTTACAAATAGAGTAGATGACAACAGTCATATAAATAGCCAGTGTTATGACAATGGAAACAATGCTTCAAAAAACTTCCATAAAACTCACAAATGAATTACCACTCAGAAACAACAAATTGAGGACATTCAAGAAAGACCAGAACTTACTAAGTGTTACGCGCTTTGCATGGATTGCACATAGCATTGCATCCTCAAACAACTGAACCAGATAATCCTCTGCAGCCTATGAGTGGAGTGAAATAATCCCCAGTGGTTATCCACTAGTGTTGATGAATGAAGAAAATGTATTTTACCATATACACTGATCAAAAACCAATAAAAAATAAAAACCACACAAATAATCCCCCGTGGCTATCCACTAGTATGTATTTTACCATATACACTGAATAGTGAAACTGAAAATTAAAAACAATAAAAAATAAACTGTCTACACATAAACCACACAAATTACTGCAACTACTAAGACAACCAAAACATTGGAAAGACAAACCTATCAATCTAAAATCTTTCTTACCTCCTGAAGTGCCACCAAGGCTTCAGCTGTCCAACGAGTAACATCTAGTGTATAAAAGTTGCTAATTTCTTTCACCTAGATTATAAGTAGTAATCAGAACCTACAATTGGAATGAAGAACAAAGCAAGGAGTATACAACTTCCTTTACTGAATAAAATGACAGTCACAGACAGTAAAAGAAAGATAGAAAGTGCAGGGGATACATGTTGAAAAGCAAAGAAGAAATTAGCAAAGAAGAAATTGCTCTAAGGTTTCGTTTAGTTCTTAAGTTTCGCCTTTATGTCTTAGAAGTCTGAAATCCTGGAAATGATATTCCAGATCCAGTCTGAAATAGTTTTTCTTAGGGTAAAAAACAAAAAAACCCCCTGTGATTAACCTAATACACAGAAAAGCCCCCCATGGTTTCAAAATATACAACACGACCCCTCATGCTTTGAACTAAATTGTAAAGGTGACGGAATCCGTTTAACTTAACGGAAATGGATGAAATGACCAAAATGCACTGATATAATTAAGCAAAAGACAGCTCAAAAAAATCATTTGTTTTATTCTCTAAGTAGAGAGAATTGAGGGTTAAGGGGTAGAATAAGTATATTTGAAAAAAATTAGGCATAAAAATTTTTTTTTAGGTTCCAATAAGTCATTTCCGTTAAGTTTAACGGATTCCGTCACCTTTACAATTTAGTTCAAAGCATGAGGGGTCGTGTTGTATATTTTGAAACCATGGGGGGCTTTTCTGTGTATTAGGCTTACCACAAGAGGCTTTTTTGTTTTTTACCCTTTTTCTTATGATGTTGGTTTCACCAGAAAACTGACAAGATATCTGGGAAAAAAAATTATGTGCACATTAAGAATGAATAAGTTATCTCTAATGTTATCCTACTTACTTGTCACCCCAAAACTAATTATCTCACCTCCATACGATCCAATAGAAGTTAAACAAAATCTAAAGTTGCATTAGATTATCCCCCGTACAAACTTAGCCACACAAGGGAAAATACAAAATGAGTAATTCAATCACATCTAATGCTGTCTAATATTATGAACCAAAATGTGTCATGACCATAACATCTGGATCATTTGAAATGCAAGACAGCCCAAAAAGCTACAAGGAATTCTATACTATCTCTAGCACTTGAAATTCATTGTTTTAAAAAAATATACTTAGCATATCATAGCTGTAACTGGAATTTGCAAGGTATTGGAAATGTAAACTCTTTGTTTGCCAGTTTATTTCTAATTCCTAACTCAATCACAGATTCAAAAAGATCAAGCCGTCAAATTCACAATCTCCAAACCAACAAAAATAATTATAGTCATAACAATAATAATAACCCCATAACAGTGATAACAACAAACTAACAAAGTTAAACATACAGCCTTCTTACACGCCCATGGCAAATCACAACTCCAACTTCAATCGAATTTTGGAACTATTTATGTGGCATAATTTGTGGTGCAATACTGATAAAGTATGTATCTAAATTTAGGTTGAATTCTAATGTTTTGTTAAGGAAGTTAGGAATGAAAGCTTTAATGAATTCTATTCAACCATTATAGACTACTCGATTACTATAAGTTTAGCAGAATATAAGAGAAAATAAACATATTATCAAACATAAGATTAAGACAAGCTATAAGTTTTATAGCAGCAGATCAAACTATCAAAATCAATTATCACATGATCGCATAAATGAATCAACTTTATCACCATAGCAAATCAGCAGTACAAAGGTCAAACGACCACCAAATGGATCAAATATTCCTAGAAATCGGACAATCATATATATAACCAAATACATAAATGAACAAACTTTATCACCAAACCAAATCAGTATCACTAAATACACACTAACACCAAAATCAATTCCAGAACTAACGACATGTATATCAAAAGAATTTAAAAGATTCAGCAGAAAGGATAAACTTTTGGTTACCTTATTCCAAATGTTCCCTGCAAAACTTTTCCTTGCACACATGAGGTTGACATTGTTAATGTATTAGTATTACCTAATTAAATATATTAACATGTGCACAAAATGCAGTTATACATGTATCATAGGTTATTTGCAAATTATGACAAATTTCAATGTAAAAAATACAGTTTCAACATACCTTGGCTTGGAGATTCTGATTAGGAGATGTAACACACTTCCAATGAATCCTGTTCCTACCACAAATACAAGTAAAGCAAAAAAAAAATTCAAAAAGTTAAGTCAATTGATTGTTATGATTTGTCTTCAAATGGATGAAAGATGGTTCCAAATAACAATATCTTTGTTGAGCAAACCAAAAAACTAAGAAAAGGGGATGAACTGTTGGCCAACACTTGATGCTATAAGTTTTTTAATAATTAGCATTAATTTTGTCTTAACCATCCTGGTTCTAGAATGGTTGGGAGTGGTAAAGATAGCTAAAAAGATAATCTTTTAACTTAGACCTTAAACCAAAATACATGAAGTTGAAGCAGCAGAATTTGAATAGTAACACCTATCTAGCCAACTTCGTGCAATTATCCCTAATAATTGTGTCTAATAAATCATTTGTAGTAAACCTTTGCAGTAAATGAAATTTAGCCAGCCGAGAAGTCTAGAAGTCTAATTAGTTACATCAAATCAATGTTCTCCAACCTTTAATTTGCAACTCACTAAAAAGACCAGTACAACAAACTCACATTCCTAAAATACCCCTCTCTCATTAATTTCTTTCACTAATTACCTACTAAACCACATTCTCCCCAATTTAATTAGAGACTAAGGACGTTTAAATAATTACAACCACACAAAAGCTATTATCACTTATACCCACAACTAAAAAGACAACCAAAATAATCATCATTTCCAAAATACCCATAAAAAGACACAACCCCATTTCTGAAAATGTATGACAAAAGAATTCACCATAAGTTGTAGTTTGTGTTGTACCTACCATATAAACTTTAAATGTACAAATATGAGGATATCTCTGTAAACATACCTAAACACATGCTGTTATGAGTTGTACCAAAAGCTTTAAAAAAGCTACATATTATTTCATATTTCCAAAATGCCCCTACCCATACGGTTGAAATTCAAAGCCCTCTTTGACTAAAACTCATTCTTATATAGTATAAGGAATTGGTAGCTAAGAGATATTCCGGTAATTACACCAGCACACAAGCATACATGGATCGTACAAAATGCAAAAACGGTTGTACACTCATAACACATTCCATCAATACCTAGGTGGCTCATCAATGACAACTTTAAATGTATTATAATGGGGAATTATTGGTAGTTAAGGGATATTCCAGTAATTACACCAACACACAAGCATATGTGGGTTGTACAACATACAAAAACGGTTGCACACTCATAACACATTCCATCAATACCCAAATGGATCATCAATGAGAACTTTAAATGTATTAAAATGGGGTCATTTCAGTAAACATATCCAAATACAAGCTTTGTTAAGTTGTACATAAAGCTTTTAAGCTAATGCATAATATTAAGGATTCCCAAAATAACCCCACCCTTGCGGTTGAAATCTTTGCCCTAAATTCATTCTTATATAGTATAAGGATATTATTTTTTAAATGGGTGGCGGGGCGGCCTCTTTTCTAAACTGGGGAAAAAAATTCCCTCTTGCCCCATTAGCCCCACGCTGGACAGGTGCCCCAATTGCCATCCCTAATTTTTGATAAATTAGATAGGAATCAAATTTGAGTTTTGTCCAAAACCCTCCAAGTTACTAGGGAATTGAGGAATTTCAAATTTTTAAATATAATTTCAAAATTTCAATTTCGATAATAATACTCTAAATAATAATTATGGAGTTTATTCCAATTCTCCATTCCGAAACTCTCTTACCAAACGCCACCTATATTATTGAATAGGCAGGATATTGTACCAAGAGAAGGGGGGATTGGGTGAGAGTATTGTTTTAAGCCCCCACCCCATCTAAAGTGACTGACGGGAGAACAATTTCTCTCACCCCATATATCTCTCGACAGCATTTGTTCCCGTCTCCATTCCTACTTCAGCCATCTTGTAAACCATTATGTGCCTTTTTCTTGGGGTAAATTACCTTTTACTCTCCTTTGATTTAGTGTATTACTACGCAGCCTCCTTATGATTTAAAAACCTATAGATAATCTCCTCCTGACTTGGGTTTTGTCCAAAACCCTCCATCGTATCACAACTCAACTAACTTGCATGAATTCAGCACAAAATTGAATAGACTCTACCTGAAATCTTTCTACACAATTGTATTTTTCTTAGGTTCATTTGGAAAGTGCAATTAGGTGGTGGTTTTAGAGAGAGGATTAGTTTTGGTTTTTTTGCAATTGTCAATTTCAGTTGCATTATTGACACAATAAAGATAGCAAATTTTGTTTGAATTCAAAATTCTGCTGATCTTCTCAATTTAATAACGTACCCAACTTCTCGTTTGAGTTGCTTTTTGACCACTTTTAATTAATTCAAAGATGCCTCCGTAATATAACCACAACACTAGCTTAGATTTTGTTTAAATTACACTCAAGGGTGTGTGCATGAAGACTTGTCCACTGCCCTTGCAGATACCCCGTCCACATTTAGCAATCATACTCCTATGTTCTTATCCTCTTCCTCTTCTTGTGATGCTTTGTAAAAGGAGTTACTTTTGTCCGGAATACTGGCAGACTACCTTCATGACTGGGATGATGGTCAGTGCGTGAAGTTGCTTAACAAATTGTTACAAGGCTCTATCAGACAATGGAATTGTAATAGTCGTTGGCGCGATTCTCCCCGTGTAGAGGTGTACGCGAGCCAAGCTACTCGCGGAGCTACTCGCGAGTAGCTTGGTCAACGACTTGGCTCGAACTCGGGTTGACCACCCGAGTTCGAGCCGAGTTTCGAGTAGCTCGAATGAAAATCGAGTCGAGTTTCGAGTCAAAAATCCCCGGCTCGAGGCTCGTCGAGCCGGGGTTATTTAAATAATATATTTATAATTTAAATAATATATATATTATAATTATAAAATGACCATTATGGGTATAAGTTATATGGAATTTACAAAATACCTTTCGTTATCGAGCCTTATCGAATCGAGTTTTCGAGCTTAGAGCGAGTACATCGAGTCGAGTTTCGAGTATAAATTTTTTTGACTCGATCGAGCTCGAGCCTAGGGATATATGAGTCGAGTCGAGTATAGCACTACTCGAGCTCGACTCGGCTCGATTACATCTCTATCCCCGTGATTCCTGATACTATTGGCACGCGTCAAGCTGATCTTATAATGATGAATCAATATCGGGGAGGGAAAAGACTGGACCGGAGTTTCTTGCCGTGGCTACTGGAGCTGTGTTTTAAAGGTATAAGTGTAGAAT